GGAGCTCAGAGATGCCGTGGGTTCCTGGGTCACTGTGGAAGCTGTACAGCCCAGTGGGCAAGAAAGCAGAGCCTCGAGTTACACAGACCTGGGTTCAAATCCTGCGGGGCCATGGGGCATGTGGTGCCTTCCTTGAGACTAGTTTCGTTATTTGTAAAATGTGGATAATGGCGGTGACCACCTCCTGCGGGGCTGGGGGTCCTGAGATGATGCGTGAAGATGCTAGCAGAGGCCGGGTGCACTGCGGTGGCCAATGCCAGGCGGCTCCTTCTATGGGTGGGGCCTGCTGGGGCTGGTCCACCCTCTTCCCACACAGAAGATTCTGTAAAGCTGCTCATGTGCTGGGGTGGGGGGGCTACAACCCAGAAAACAGCCATATTTTGGGTGGAAATGAGCGGAATCACCTGGCAGGGCAGGGGGAGGCTGGGATCCGGGGTGGGGGACAGGCCAGAAGCTGGGGAGGAAGTGCAGCCTTCACCGCCCCCCCCATCCCAGAGCGGGCCCTCTGCTGGGTTTCTCACCCGCTCTGGCTTTCTAGGGAGCCACTGCTTCCAGTAGGAGTCTAGCCTCTTCCAGCCAAAATGCAATAGAAGAAACATCACTGGGTGCTTCAGGGGCCAGCAGCACGGCAGCTAATGGATGACACCATCCTAACAGCAAAAAGGCCAGGGCGTAGTCTCCTTCCCAGGAGCATCCTATCATCGGAATACATTTCCGTAGCTGCTAATGCCACGGAACAGTGGCCACGACAAGACGACACAGGTCAGAGAGAACTGACTTCCGCCAGAGAAAGAAGACAGCAGGGAACCAGCATTGGCTACAGAGGTTCTGAGACCCGATGTCCGTTAGCCACGTTTCAGGTTGTACAAGGCCCCCATGTCTGCTGCAAACCAGCAGAACCGCTGCCCCCGCTGCCCTGCATGCTCGAGATACACAAGCTACTTTGCAGGATGTTCGTCGGCGAATTTATCTGCTTATCAGGAAGTCAGCGGCGTTTGTACGAAATTGGTGTGTGCCCGTTACATATGCTGGTGTAACCATGCAATGTAATCACCCATTCTGCAAATCAATGAAATATGAGTGCAAAAAGAAAGAGTTATTGTTACTAAGAAAAAACACCACCACACACACGTACACACACACACCCAAAAATCCCTAAATGGAGTGCTCTGGAAAGACTCATGACTCAAATTCGATTAGAAACACCACACAGTAAGGTGCAGCGAGGCAGATGTTAAAAAACTGGAATACACAATAAAAATCCAGGAAGATCCGGCAGCTAGATTACTTCCCAAATGTCAAAATTCTTATTCCATTTTAAATAAAGATGGAATTTATAGATGTTATATTACAGGAGAGGTTCATGCAAGTAAAATGACAAATTTTCATTAGAAAAAGATCTTGGTTCCATATAAAATATATGTATGTCTTTTAAAATAAAGAAATGTATATATTTTAAACTAAAAATGTGTCTTTCCAGTGGTTGTTTCTTTCTTCAACCAGCATTTCCAGTGAACCAGTCGACATATTTGTGGTCCCTACTGCACTAGAATAAGAACACCCCTATATTGATTTTTGCCCTTTTTGTACCTTTTCTACCCTCTTTCCTAAAACGGAGCTGCATCTCCCCAGAACCAGTCTCAGGGTTGTTCTCCAAAGCAACAGTGAAAACAGAGAGACTTAGTGATCTGATGAGCTTGGGGGCAGCTTCAGGACATCCCCGCCCTTGCAAACGCACAGTGCCCCCTGCACACTGAGAAGAAAGAAGGAGCTGACTGTGTAGTAGAACCTAGATCTCCCCAAGCCCTTCTGGGAGCAGGACACCGTGGGAGCCAGCGCCTTCGGGCCACAGGAGAGGAGTAATGTCCACTCCCTGTTCTGCAGCGTTTACTACCGAGTCAGAGACCTAAGACGCGGAGACTGACACACACGTCCACACAGGACAGGCAAGCAGCGGCATTAGTCCGTCTATTCTCAGAGTCACTGGATGGTGAACTCAGCAGGTGTTACAGATCAGACTCAGGTCAGCCACCTGCCTCTAATTGATTCACAAAATGTGGGGCCTTCGCCTCCAAAACTTGTGCACTGTTCTAGCAAGTTGAGAGGGAACTACCGTTTCTTAAATGTGACTGTGTCAGGCATTGCACGTAAATGTATGTTATCTCATTTAACGTTCATAGCCATAGAAAAGGGTATCATCTCCCTTTTTCAGAGAAATAGACCCAGAGCAACGGCACAGCTAGTGGGAATGCCTCAGTTCACACCTGTCTGCCTGGCCGCACAGCCTGTCTTCTCTGCACTGTGCCCCAATACCAAGCACCACACAGCCCCTCTCCTGAGCTGCCGTTGGGGTGCCGTAAATGTATGTTATCTCATTTAACGTTCACAGCCATAGAAAAGGGTATCATCTTCCTTTTTCAGAGAAATAGACCCAGAGCGACGGCACAGCTAGTGGGAAAGCCTCGGTTCACACCCTGTCTGCCTGGCTGCACAGCCTGTCTCCTCTCCACTGTGCCCCAATACCAAGCACCTCACAGCCCCTCTCCTGAGCTGCCGTTGGGGTGCGGGCCCACCTGCGTCTGGGTGGCCAGGCTGATCCGTGGGCCAGCCTCGGCCTGTGAGGCCAGCTGTGTTCGGCCGTGTCCCCACAGGCTGGACTCCTCCCCTCCTCCACAAGGCCCAGCGGTCACTCCCTTGTCCTCTGCCGATGGCTGCTACGAGGAGGCATTAACGGGGGAGGACTTTGCCAGGGTTAAGTGCTTTATTAATAGCACCTGCGCTTGTGTGCACTCTGCGCTGGAGAGGGTCCAGGGTGTGGGAGGGTGTGGGCAGAAAAAGCTTACTCATGCTTTTCAACAAGTCCTCCCACTGTCCCAGGTCCCTTTGGGGGAGGCCCCCCACGCCCCCGGTTCCTCCTCCCTCCTGCTTTGTGCGCAGAGCACCCTCTCCCTGTCCACCTTGACCTTCCTCTGCTATCCCATCTGGTGGAAATGGAAAGAAAAGACCGTGAACTAAAGAGGAGGCTCAGCAGGGAGGGGTGAGAGGGGAGGACATGGACCGAGGTCAGAGGGGAGGCCCAGCCAGGAGGGACTCAGAAGATGGCCCTCCAGTCTCATGAGCTGCACACGGGGAGTGGCAGGTGGCTGAGGAGGTGCCCACAGTGGGTGATGGGAGTCCCCAAGGGGTGCTGGCCTGGATGCATGGGCTCTGTGCAGGGAAATCTGCATTGCAGCCTCCTCTCCCTCCTACACCTGCCTTTTCTCCCCCTCAGAAGTGAGTTTGTAGGTATGTTCACATCAGTCTTCAAAATGCATGGGGATGGGAGGCGAGGAAGGAGAAAAGGGGAACTGACATCATTAAGCTCCACAGTGGCTAGAGTCTCAGCAATGCTTCCATTGCTTCATCATCACCTGCACAGAGGTGGGCGTGGCCAGGGGACAGCAAGAGCTGAGGCCTAGATCTGGGCTCAGGTTTGGCCCGTGAGCTTCTACCACACCCTGGGCCCTGAAGTCCTACCTCCCACAGCACAAGGCTGCAGACAGCCTCTGGCAGCGCGACACCAGGGCAGGCCGACCTTGCGCCCTACCATCGCTGTGAGCTCCAGCTCCCATCAGGGCTGCTCCCGGGAGACCTGGGCTGGCCCTGGCCCTGGTCGTTGTTCCAACCTCTTCTCACCTTAATTCTCAGCTGTCCACCCCTTCTCTCCAAAGTAGGTTTCTATTTGTTCCCTGGGGGTGTTTTCAGACTGTATTCCCTCAGTAAACTGTCTGGAGACCCCAAGTCCCTGGAGCAAGGGGAGGGGATGTGTGGGGAGATGCCAAGCCCCAGCCCCACAGTGAGCCCCCAGGGCAGTTTTCTTGGCCCTGGAATGCACACCCCCTTCTGAGGCAGGTCCTTGGAGCCCCGAATCTGAGAGCCAGGCCCAGGCTCATGGCTTTGGAGGCCCTCCCATTTCAATGAAGAACTGTGCCTTGATGGAAGGATTGATTCCATTTGATTGAGAAAGAGCTTACTTACTCCTGGTTCTTCCCACACTTCACAGGCCAAATTATGTCTATAATTCTAGTCCCAACTTTGCTGTTTATCCTGTATCTGTGTGTCTATGTCCTGGCAGGCCACACTTCCAGACTGCTGGCAGCCCATCCATGTTCACAGACTCCACCTCTGTACCCTGGACCCACACAGACACACACAGACACACACACACACACACACACACACACACACACTCTCACACTCAGCCCAGGCAGTCACTGGTCTTTGTATCGACAGCTCTGGGATGGCATTAGGGGCTAAAGTCATTGAAGTAATTCCTGACAGTCAACCGAAGCCGCTATTACAACGAGCCCTGCAAGCACACGGCTCCACCTTGGTGCACACAGTGGGCACTTTACAAACACACAGTTAAACCCAAGGCTCTATCTCCATTTCACGAAAGTGGCCATGAGGCTATAAAAGCCTTTGCTCTGTATCACAGAGCTGAGCTGGACACGCGAGGAAGCCGGGACTTCAGCCTGTGCCCCTCCAGAGCCTGTGGGCTCGACCACAGCCCCCCTGCACTGTGCCTCAGCTGGGGCTCCGGGCAGGAGGGGGACACACACCTCAGCTTCCCCGGCGGTGGGGACTCCGGGACCCAGGAGAGCAGAGAATGAACATTTGCCCTTTAAGAGAAGGGCAGAGTGAGCGTGCTGCCTGGGAGGAGGGCTCTGGACCAGGAAGCTTAGCCCATCCACAGAATATCACTCTGTTCACGAAACAGTTCCGAACACTCCCAGTACTTAAGTCAGAATATGTCTGTCCCACACCCTCTCAGCCTTTTTTCTGAGGCAGCAGCAGCAAGCACTAGGGATAGTCTCTTAGCTTGAGTTCCTGCGGGAACCTCCCTCTGACCTGGGTCTGGAAGATGATACCCAATCAGAGAGCCTCTCTCTGAGGCCACGCCCTCTGTGGCCCTGGGGGTGCTGCTGCACCCACCCACCCGTCAGTGCACACACACTCACCATGAGATGCTGGAAGAGCCAAGAACGCATGATATTGGTGGCGTGCTTGGGCAAGACTCCTCGCTTGTTCTTGGACTTCTTATCCTCATTGTCCAGGAGGGAAGTGAGGTCAAGGTTAACCTTCAGGGCACGTGGAGAAAAAGTCAGCATCAGCAGCCTGGCAGCCTGGCAGCTAGGGACCTGTTGCCATGGTGATGATGGCAGGTTCTTGCTGCCAGCCCCCTTCCCAATTCACTCTAGGGCCCTGGGAGGTCACCTTTCCCTTCACCTCACAGAATGGAGAAGGAGGGAGAGGGGATGTGGCGAAGTGGGGAGAGAAGAGGCAGAGGAAACCATAAACCATCCAATAGTTAGCCTTTCTGGAGGAGTTTACAGTTTGCCAAGTGACTTCCTGTCCGTTACCATGGTGAGCCCTCACGGCAGCCTGTAGGTTGTAGGACTGTGAGTACCTGCTGGGTGGATAAGAACTCTGAGGCTCAGAGAGGTCTCCCCGGACCCCTCTGCTCACTGAGCTCCAGGGTGGCTCCACGTGGAGACCAGAAACAGGAGGAGCCTTTGATGCAACGGGGAGGCAGCAAAATCCCAGGAGTTGATAAAACCTCTCCAGCACCCAGCTTCTTAACTGGAAAGTGGGGGTGATGCTACCTCTTCGGAGAATAATGGGGAGTAAATGAGTAACTTGTGTGAGGTGCCTACCAGATGGTAAGTGACCTTGGTTGCCCTCCCCCACACCCATGCAAACGTGCACACACTGGGACACACACTCACCTGTGTGTTCTGGATCTGGATGGCTCCCTGAGGGATTGCTTGGGTGACCACCTGACCCTGGGAGGTTACCATGGTAACTGGCTGGTATAAGGCTCCACCTGAGGAGACAACCAGTTTTGGGGTCCCCTGTCATGGGGGCACTTCCTGCTCTGGAGGTACTCAGCCCCTGTGGAAAGGGGCAGGATGGGACATGTGTTGGGGAAAGGACGATAGCCTTGCTTGGTCTCTGAGGGACTCTTGAGACTTTGACCCAAATTTGTTCCAAACCATACAATGAAGTCTTGGTGCTAACCATCTATACATTACAGAACTCTAGCTAAGAAACTCAGCGGGGAGCCCCTCTCCCATTTCCAGGGGCACTTGTGCAATGCCCTGCCCCTCACCCCTGCAGTCGCCTTGGGGCCACCTTTTCTCTTCCCAGGGGTGTCCCCACAGTCCCCTGCACCAACCTGACACCACTTGTGAGTTGACAGTTGTCATGGCGATGCTGCTCTGCTGGAGCGCTGAGGCTGGGACCACAATCCCCTGGGGGTTATTGGAGACTCCGGACATGGAATTGGGAGAATTCTGCAGGAGGTCCTGGCAGTAAGGGAGGTGTGGTTTCATGACAATGTTGCTAAGAGCTTAGATGCCACAACCCAATTCCTCCTCTCCCCTCCCCCTCCTGCCTCCCCTCCTCCCTGTTCCCACCCATACCCAAATTGGAAAGGTAATTCTCAGGGCTTCTAGAAAGAGTGAATAAGAAGACTCAATATTAAAAACCAACCAACCAACCAACCAACCAACCAACCGACCAACCAGTCACCCAGTTAGCCATCTCATTCCCCTGCAAACCTAAGACATAAATGACCATGAACTCGCATTCCCCACTTGGCCTCCCTTTGGAGTGTCCACCACTGATGCCTGGGTTCCAGCCCCCGAGATTCTGATCTGCTTGCTCAGGGGTGTGGCCGGGTTTGGGTTGTAAAAGCTCCCAGGTGGCTCTAGTGTGCAGTGGGGGTGGGAAGCAGCTTTGAGGCACCAGTCATCCTTCACACCGGGTCGGCTCCACACGCCCCTCCCCACACCTCCATGAGCACCTAAATCCCAGCACTTACTACACCACGTCCACACGCAAAGCGGCCTCTGCACTTCTATCTTTGTATCCTTAGCACCGAGTTCAGTGCCTGGCTGCTAGGAGCTACTTGTTAGATAATAATAAAAAATAGCCACCCTAGCCCCTTCACTACCCATCTCCTAAGGGCATCTCTTAGGAGCCTCAACCCTAGGCACATTTCATGGATTCCTTCCTCTTCCTCAGCCCCACAGACTCCCACTGCAAGTGGGGTCCCTTTCCCCCACGTCGTCCCCCTGCCAGCCTCATGTTTCCAGTGGACGATTCTGGCAGTTGGCTTCAGCAGGCGGCAAAGCAGCTAAAAAGAGCATTTTTTTTTCTGGCTCCTGGCTCCCCTCATTGCCACTTACCAGCTGAGCAAGGAAGTGCTCAGACTTCTTGAGGGATTGCGGCCGAAGGGGAAGGAGACTGGGCTGCAGGCTGCACAGGGGCAGTGAGCCCTCCCTGCCTGGTGGCTGGGCTCGGGGGAGTTTGTGAGGAAGAAGTTGGGTGTGTGAGAGGTGGGGTCTCCAGGCTTTATTTGGAGAAGGTGAGAGAGGCAGCAAAAGAGGTGTGGTGGAAGGAGCCATGAAGACCTGCCTCGGTCTCTCAGCTTCTCCAACCACAGCTCCTCATCTGAAAACAGGGCTTGAACTGTTAGGGGCAGAAATGTAATATTGGGGACTAGCTATTAGTTATAAGAAATAAAACAAGAAATATTAGTCATGCTCTGTTAACCATGATGGTTCTGTTCTGACTAGAGAAAGCACATTCTAACCTGGCTGGGAGTTATATGCCCTGGGACATGGGAGCTAACATCGGAATGCAGTCCATCCTCCTGTCCCGAGAACTGCCTGTCACTATGGAAAGATTTACAACTTCGTGGCCGAAACAGTCAAGTCCTGGAGGCACCTGCTCTTTACAATCCCAGCCCCTATTGCCTGTAATCTGGTCCCGGGGTGCCTGCCTCTGCCACTTCCCCCACCCCCAGCCTGCATGACTCTCCCATGCCTACTTTCCCATGCCTGTAACCTGTAATCTTGTCCTTCTACCCATATAAGCAGCTGGCTTATGGGGGCTGCAGAGCAGAATTTTGTGGATGACCTGCTGCTCTCCCATGCTGCCGGTATCACTGGAATAAACACTCATATACGATTCAACCCCTTCTCTGCTTAATTGGCTCAAGTAGTGACAGGCAGCCCAGACCCCTTGATTGTCCGGTCACAGAACCAGATGCCCACCAGCTGCCAGCAGCTGGATTCCCTGCTCACAGCTGGATTCCTAAGGCATGTGCTGCAAGGACTCAGGTAAACCCTCAAGAAAAAAAAGTTCAAATTGGGGAGAAAAAAAGACCCCAGCTTCCTAGCTTTTGTTTTAGGACTGAGAGAAGCTTGGGCATCCAGCCTCCAGGGACAGTCCAGCAGTGGTTCTCAACCTTCCTAATGCCACGACCCTTTAATACAGTTCCTCATGTTGTGGTGACCCCAACCATAAAATTATTTTCGTTGCTACTTCCTAACTGTAATTTTGCTACTGTTATGAATCGTAGTGTAAATATCTGATATGCAGGATGTATTTTCATTGTTCGCGACCCACAGGTTGAGAGCCGCTGGTAGAGTGTGGAGGGGGAGAGACGCGTGTTTGGAGGAAACCTTAGCCAGTAACTGCCTGCCTGCAGCAACAGACCCAGGAGGAGTATGGAAGGCCCAGGGGTTGCTTCCCAGACCCTGGCACCAGGAAATCCAGAGCCTCTCAGGAAGGGGTGGTCAGCACTGATGTATGAATCTCACGAGTCAGCCCATGAGCCCCCCACCCCCTGGCGTCTCCTTCAGAGCTGCGTGTCCATCCTGCGTGCCAGGCCCAGAGGAGCAGCACTTGGGGAACTGGAGTCACTCCCCCTCCCCCACCCACCAGGTTTGGCAGGGCCTCTGTCGGAGCCTCGCTTCTATTCTTGGCTCACCTCTGCTGTGACCTTGGAGGGGAGGGCAGCTCTTGCCTGACCTTCCCTTTACTGGGACTCTGTGAGCACCTCCCAGCCAGGGGGGTGTACTGTTTGAACAGAATTCTTGGCCTTCCCTCGGATGCAGTTCAAGTCTAACACCGAGTCTGACTTGCAGAAGCTTAGACTCAGGAAGAGCCTTAAAAGCCACATATTCCGACAGACAAGGAAGATGGTGGTGTAGGTAAACGCCTGTACTCACCGCCTCCCACAACCACATCAAAATTACAACGAAAATACAGAACAACCATCATCCAGAACCACTGGAAAGCTGGCTGAATGGAAGTCCTACAACTACAGAAGGCAAGAAGAAAGCACACTGAGACCGGTAGGAGGTGTGGAGATGCGGAACAGGCTGGTCCGGCACCCATGTGTGCTGCTTTTTTAATCAGGAGGGAGATCGTCTCTGAGGCTGGAAGAGCACGGGGGCCCAGCCCCACACCAGACCCCCAGCCCAGGGTCCCAGAGCTGGGAAAAGAAGTCCCTACAGGCAGTAAGAACTACGGGCTGTAAAAACCAGTGCGGATTGGGGCTCAGTGACACAGAGGCTGCTGGAGATCCAGCTATTCCTCTTAAAAAGGTGGCACCAGGGTGAAGCTTTGGGGGACACAGACACATACCAGGAGGAACTGGACTGCCTGGCATCTGGGCAGGAACTTGGGGGCAGCTTACTCCCAGACAGAGATGCTTGTCGGGATCATTGTTCCTATGCTGGGACCTCCCTGGTTGTAGAGCTGACTGGCAGCCATTTCTGTTTGCTCCGCCCTGGTGATTCCCAGAGACCCCACCCCATCCAATTTATAACCCCACCCAAGCTGTGAGCAGCAGCTTTTGCATATAAATGGCCTCTCCCTGCTCAGGCTAAAATCTCTCAAAACAAGTTGCACCTCGGTCAGGGAGCCCAAGTTGTATCAATAAAAGGCCCAAGACCCAGCACCAGCACCAGCCTACCTTGCTTCACAGCTGGGCCTCATCTAGGCACTTCCAAACCTGATACAAAGAGAAGGAATCTGCAGATCTCTCTGTAGCTCCTGCTGGGTGGTCCCAGGCAGTGGCTGACTTTGCACCTCCCTGGAGACCCAAGAGCCAGTGTACTCAGTGGTCAGTGTCAGATCATACCAGATTACAACTCTACACATCCATAAGCGACACCTTAGGAGCAGATTCAGTGAGTACCAAAGCCTCATCAAAGCAAGCCCTGATCCATAGGGGTGTCTCTTGCACAGCAACTCTCCCACTGTAGTTGCAGCTGGTCCCCACAGCCAATTGGCCTGGAGGTCAATTCCCCCCAGTGACACCAACAGCAATCAAGTCTCAACTACAACAAGACCATGCTCACAGCCCACAAAAGGGTGCACCTAGAATGTCCACCTCAGGTGATTGGGGAGGCTGAGTCACTAGGCCCTATAGGACACCTACTACACAAGGCAACTCTACCAACTCAAGGAGACATAGCAGCTCTACCCAATACATAGAAACAAACTGAGAAGCAGTCAAAATGCGAAGACAAAGAAACATGTCACAAATGAAAGAAATGGAAGAGAGCAAACTACTGGATATAGAGTTCAAAACCATGGTTATAAAGTTACTCAAGAATCTTCTAGAAACCTCCAAGAAAAATGGAAAAGGACCATTTTAAATTAAGGACCATCAGAAATTAAGCATACACTGACTG